CCTTGTGTCATGTGCAGTAAAGGGCACCCAGGGTGATAGGATTGATTGCATTCATCTAATATGAAAGTGTCTTATGGTGAAGAACCACTAATTTGTAGAACTGCTAATCAATAAGGAGAACGGAGTAAAAGATTCATGAATGTAGTACATGTATATGTTTTTTGTAACCTGATAGTATAAGCAATAAGTTATGTAAAGGTTTCGTATTTTTTCAAAGTGTATCTTAAAAGATCAAATCATAACTAGGTTTTGAAAAATAAAAAATAAAGCAATTTTGATTTTTAGGTTAATGTGTAAACTTATAATGGATTAGCGTTTCATAAAACTACTATTGTTATAATTTTGATAAAGTTATACAAGTAATACAATGCTGCATGCAATGAAATTATTTGTACAGGTTACCGAGTTTTCATATCCCATGTGCTGTGGACGTTTTAACTCTCGGAACTTATTCCCGTCTTCCGACCTGTATACGGGTAAGATCTTTTGTACATTGGATAATATGTTAACAATACTGTATAACATTTATGAATTATAGAATCTAGTAGACAGACTTTATATTCACATGAATAATAAAAGCTATATGATAATCTAAAGGAAAGTATTAATTATATAAATATCTAATTATCTTAATCATAGTTAAAAATTGACATATAATAGGTATAAATGTGTACATGTAATGATCATGTTTATACAGTATTTTCATGGCAAGATGTTGGTCTGCTTCTGACAACAAACTAATATTTTTCATAAAGAATAAAAATGTTGCTGGTATTGTTTTACAGATCTTGTATGATTCACTTAATGCATTTCTTTGACATTTAAAGTTTGGTGTCACAGTAAAAGTTATTCAAAGTTTGTTTTTTCTTTAGCAGTTCATTTTAGTATCTCCACTCGCACACACACACACACACACACACATAAGTGCAAATATCTTCAATTTGATCTTTCTCTCCAAATGTACATAGACACATAAGCATATATATTTATTTATATTCAATTTTGAAAATGATTCGTATTATACTTATTCATTATCTGAGGTAGTTGTGAATTTATCTTCATTTAATGTGTTCTCTGCAGGATCGTATTGTACCACCAGACCCCATTCTCCCTTCAGAGAAAAGAAGTACCTTGTTGAGACTGAACCAAATCATTCAGTACAGACTTGTCTCATCTGATCTGCCTCCTGAAATGTGGAATTTGAAAATAGGTCAGCATTGAACTGTGCAATGCAAATTGTTTAGCAATAATTAAGGATAAATGAATCATATCAGTAAGCTTTGAAGATAAGCCTTTAGCACTTCTGTTATAACTTATTAAACAAAATTTATTGTTTAGAAATAAAAGAACTGAAACTAATTCGACTAAATCAAAATGACGAGGTATTTTTCAAAGTTTGTAAACTGTATGGCCTTTGTAAACAGTTATTTTAAACTAAATTTAATTAGATTTACACATTTCATAATCATTCTTTTTTTTTATTCAGCTGTTAATTTGATTTTTGGTATGTGTAGGTTTTAAAAAACTAATAATTCTTTAATAAATGACATGGAATGGCTAAGCATTATGAGATGGTATTCTTTCATTTTTTGTTAATCATTATGATGTTCAAATTTCATGTGTATTTACCTCTATCATTTAAATTAGCTCTCCTTTTTAGGTTTTTATATTCATGATTCTAGCTTACACCCTATTAGTAATACTATTAACACAGTTAGACAAAATGATACACTGGATGGAACTGAGATCTTTATCATAGTAGCTATAACCATTTAAAGTCAGTTAGTTGTTGTACAGAAGTGTTGCTAAGGCTGTGTGTAAATCAGTTTGTCACTCTTTGTAAATAAGTTGATCAGATGTTTTATCAATAGCCAATTATCATCCCGATCTGAGTTAGAATCTTGCCATTTGTTAGAAAATAAAAGTGTGTATACAAAAGAAAAGAGAACTGACGATTGCACAAACAAGATGCTCAAGAATATGGAATTTTAGATTGGATATTGCTTGAAACTTGGTCAGGGCTTTTAAGTGTTGTGAGTTGTAGTTGATCAGAGAGTTTTGGAAATATTGTATTTTTAAGTAAACATTGCGATAATTTACGAAGTTAGGTTTTTTCTTCCTGATTTGTTTTCATCTATTCATGTGTTGAGGTTGTATTGTTGAGTCAGTGTTTGGTATTAAGTTGTGCCCACTGAAATAATAAAGGCCCAGCATTTTCAACTTTTTAGTATAATTTGTTCAGTTTTGAAAGTTCTATTAAGTAATATTTTTTTTAAGAATCCTGATATTAATGTTTAAGTTAGCCTTATTGTAGAATAACAAAATTGTAATTGGTTAACTTTACTAATGAGATAAATGATTAATTGTTTGAGATACAGTTAATAAATATGGAGATATTTGTCTTTTTAAACTCCTGTGTAATTGTATAATGATATATTTGTTTTTTATAGAAAACGGAAGAGTCATTTTTCATGTTGAACATGAATTTGAGGTACTTTTTTTTTCTATAAATTATTAATGGAATCCTCATATCACATGATAACACCAAGTAAAATGAATTTCTGTCTATAAATATTTAATAAACTCCTTTGAATAATGAAAAACCATGTTATATATTGTGTCTGTGATTTGACACACACATACAAAAAAATGTAAACAATTTTTTAACTTTATCATGTATATTTGTTGATAAAAAATTTGAACAAATTGTGTATATTGATTAGTCAAAATATTAATGTTTTCAAAATGTCAATGCTAACCCTGTAATGAGGTTGCTTGTATTTAGTGCAAGTTTGGTTGTGTTTTATTACAGTGGACTTGCTCAAGCAGCTTTTTTGCATAGTCTGAACAATGTAGCTTATATTGATTTATTATGATTGTTTTCCAACACTTTTATTAATATAAGATTTATTTTATTTCTCTTCAGACCACTTTTACCTGAATTTGACATTTCATAATCTGTTTTTTTGTTTACCATTTTTCTTTAAATCTATTCACAAAGTGAAATATGAAAATAGTAATTCATTTAAATTTTCTCAAAATTGCATACTTATATATATATCAGTTGAACTTTTGTTAACTTATAAACACTGTAGAATGTTATGTAATGAAGGTGTTAGTTATGACTTTTGCTAATACCGTAGGTGTCACTGACCTTGATGAGGGACGGAGTTCTTGTTCCATGGAGGCTACTAGACATTGACATTCTGGTGGAGGATAAAGAAACGGGAGGTGTGTGTAAAATGTTTTATTTATATTATTGGGAAGATGTACACATCCAAGTAATCTATACATATAAATATGAATTCCATGTAATTTCACCTACATTTCGTGTAAACTAGCTTAAATTAGCATTGAAGTAGTTAGTGTGCTAGAATTCACAGAAAAGCATGTAATGTTTATGTTAAAACATGATTAATAACTGAAAATATTTGAGAAGTAAAAGAGATATTTGCAAAATAATAAAAATGTGAGTCCATGCTGATTGTAACCTCAAAAGTTTAGCCAATTATACTTCAGATTCTTTGTTCATTTCATATTTCAGCAATTCCCTGAAGCTCATTGTGTAAGTTAGTTTTAATGTTACAACAAGCTGTATTTCATCAAACCATGATTCTGAATGTGTAGTTATATTTCTCAAATTTGTAAGTGTAGAAATAGACTAATTCTCTCAGTATATAAAATTAGCATTTTTTTGACAACTAACTGTGATAGTTTCTATCATAAATTGTTTAATCAACTGAACTAAATAAATTTTCTTTATTCATTTTGATTTAACATAAGTGGAACGTTTCTTTCAATGTTTAACAATGACTTGATGTTCTTTTTCCACATTCAAGAATTTTTCAAACTAATTATGCCAGTTCTCTTTTCCTGATAATTAATATTGTGGTGTATTAGAACATTTTAAAAGCACTGGACAACTAATTTTATTATTGGATAAAAAAAAAGATACTTTAATATTAAGACCAAATTTTACTTGTTTATAATAGCTTAGCCAATTTTGCAAATGTGAATGTGTAATCAGTTATTTTTGTAATATAGGGCAGGAAAGGGCTAACCAGAGTAGTGATTTAAATAGGATTTAATTAATCCTTCACTACCATTTCTTTTCATTGTGTTATTTACTTTACAGTTTAGTTTTTGAAAATTTGTAAGATATATTTATTTATTTTTTGTTTAGATGGAAAAGCTCTTATTCATTCTTTACAAGTTAACTATATCCATCAGCTGATACAGTCTCGACTAATAGATAACTCACGGCCACTTCTTGATGTGTATACCATTTTGCGTATCCTTGTGTTTGTTCTTTACATGGGTGTTGTCAGATAAACCATTTACATTTGATTTGTTTTTTTTAAAGCTGAACATGCTTACTTTTCATAGATTTTTTTTTATCTAGTCAGATTTATAAAAATATATTATCTTGTTGAACTAATGATTGAAAGTAGTAAAGAGAAGATACAAAATATAATATTTCAGTTAATAAGATTCAAAATGTGAATTAATTTCATTTATTTGTAATTGGAAGTAATACATATAAGAGAAGAAACTTTAAGTAAATTTGAAATTTTAAACATTATTACTTGTGGCAGTATTAACATTATTATTTTTCATAACTTATTATTTTCTGAATTGGTGGAGAATGTGTATGAATTTCGTTTCTATGCCCTAATTCTCATAGTTTGTAACAGTTTTAATAGGTTTGATTATCTTTAACCTTTATGCAAACAGATTCATTTTGTTTAAGTCTGCAGTTAGAAGTATTACATTCTCAGGTGAGTATGATGTTATTTTGAATATTCTTCCATTCTTTAAACCTAATATGCATGTTACTTTATAGAAACTATTAGAAACAAATCATAAAATTCTAAGAGTTTGGGTTACTAAGATTCATTTTATTGTGTGGAGTCAAGAAGTTTTTAAGTCATTTTTACTTAATTGAAATTTAAGTTTTATATTTGTTGTAAAACTACACATATATTAGTCTTAAATATTTTAAGTATCATTAAAAGATGTTCAACAGAAGTTTTAAATGTGTATATATTTTTAGGATAAAACTGATGTAATTAAAAAAGTATATTATTTTAACCAGTTTTAAGGTAATACATGAATTATAATGAAAGTTATTGTATTTTTTTTCTATCAGACTGTAAGACTGTGTCGAGAACGACTTGGAGAATTCATCAGGATTGAAGAATATGTAGCAGGAAATTGGCTTGTTCTGTCTTATTGGAGGTAATAAATTTTATATATAGTGTGTCACAATGAAGTTAATTAATCTTTACATGATATAAATAACATAACTGTTAAAAGAAACCAACATTTAATGGTACACAATGTAAAAATGAGATTGTCTCCAGTCTTAAATTACAATTAAACATTTATTCAATAATTTATTGTATAAAGGTAAAAATCTTTGAGACTGGGCACTGTCTTATACACTGCATGTTTCAATGTCTTACTTCATCAACATCAAGAGTTCAATATTTTGCAACAGTAAAGACCTGTATATATTTCACTTAAGAATTACATGATCTAATATACATACAGATTTAATTTAAAGATTTTCACACCATTTGCTAACACCTTGTTTCTTTAGTTCTTCATCCTTTAACCCCACCAACATGGGTCTACCTGTGGTCACAAGTCAGAGACCCTGTCGTCGCATTATTGAACTACTATTTTAGGAATTTATGTCAATAAGTTTGGTATCAAATTGTAGATTATAATTAAAATTTTAGTATTATACATTATTTAATTTCTTAATTTAAAAATAAATATTAAAGAAACATCTAAATATTGATTTTTGTGTGTCATGTGGTATGTTGAATGCAGCATTGGTTCAAATTAGATGTTTCTGATATCCAAATACAAAGTCTGTAATTTTTTACGAATTAGATACTCAAATTAATGATATTGACAAGCTAGAATCTCAGATAATAACCTCCTATCTTTTCTTTTTGCTGAGATATTAATACATTTATTGAATCAACCAAGATGGCCCTGCACATTTCTTACATTTTTTTATAATACTTGATTATGTACTCCTTCTACGAATGACGTGTGTATAACCAATCAATGACATGTGTACAACCAATCAAAAGCTCAGAATGTCCCTCTAGTGGTTTTCTCAGCCTCTACAAAGTATTTGCACAGGAAACTTTCTTTTCATGCTAGCTTCCAAGTGGTAAGGGAAGACATTTGTGAGCTCAAAAAATCATATTTTTAACCCAAACACAGCTTGATAATTTATATTGGTATTGATATAGTAATTTATGGTTTTTGATTATTTCAAAATGCATATATAAAACCTCAAAAAATTATTTTGTTTTATATACTCCATGTGCAAAATTTGATAAGGCTTAGGCAACTTAAGGCATGCAGCAAACGAATACAAAGTTTGTAACTAGAAGAGATAATTGTTTCTATACTTTTTAATTTACTGTTCTATGTTTTAAGAAAAATTACGGAAATTTATAAACTAATTTGTAAATAGTAATAATGTATTATAACAAAAATGTGACTGTATTTTACAAAATACTGGTCTACTAGAACACAGCAAAAACAGAGATGTATAATGTTGTGAGATTTAAGTTATTTAGAATAAGCACTTGTGTTTTTGTGTTATAATTTGTTGTCACTGTAGAATGAAAAAAAGCATAATTTATATCTATTTCCTAATTTTTTATGGTGGTTACGAGGTCGGTCAAATCAATCAAACTCGCACAGAGATACAATAGTGAAAATAACAGATAAAATATAAATTTTTTCTAGAAAAACATTTGATAATTATCTGGACTTTATACAGATTTTACATGTGAAATATGAAAATGTTCTGATGTATAAAAGTATTTTTAATCTTAAAAGCAAAATTACTTTGCATGTTGGATAGTCAACATTTGAAAAGAAAAAAATGCAAGAGAAAAACATTCCTTAAAAAATCTTAATAAAAAAAATATGATATTTTGTGTACAAAAGCCTTGTAATGTTTACTGATAATCTGCAAAACCTCGTGAAGATATGCTTACTGTATTAAAAGTTATAGTACGAAAACTATAGCAAGCACAGAATGGTTACAAGGTCAGTCCCTCGGACTGAGCCCATAGTGAAAGAGTTATTACTTTAAAATAATTCTTATTATATTTGATTATTTCAATAGATTCAAGGATATTATTACCATTAATACCTGTAAGTTGTATCAAAATTAGTTATTTTTAGCACTTTTTTTTGTACGGTCAATTTTTATTTTAAATTTCACTTTGTTTGTGTTATATTCCAAACTTCACATATTATTTTATATACATGTGTGTGTGTGTGTGAGTATGTTTATATATATACCAATTTTTTCCATTTTATATTTTTTATAACATCAAGAATCTGGCTAACTTTATTCACTGGTCTGTATATCGGAAAGATATTTTATTGTTGTTCCCTAAGTTGTTGCATTGTGTAAATGATAACACAAGCCATTTTTTGTTAATATTTTCATTGAGAGGTTTTAACATAATACTTTTATTCCCATTTCTTCTTTTTATAAATTTCTTAACAGTTCTGTCATTCATATCAGGATTAAAACCACTTTCTACTGCTACATACTTGATGAATAACAACTCATTGCTAATATCTTTATTTTTACAATATATTTTAAGATCCTATATACATAACAATAAAAGCAGTGATTTTTTTTTGGGGGGGATTTAGTGTGACCTGATTCTTCATGTGGGGGCTTAATTACCAAGAATGGTTTATACTAAACAGCAATTTCCAATTTATCTTTAAAAAACATTTATAAAAATAAATAGTTATTTTCCTCATTCTCATATGTAAATATAATTGTCAGTGTTATTAAGATAATTATCAAAATCAGTCAAATTCTTTTTACCATTCTGCCATATCAAAATGTGTTATCAACATACCTTATCCAAATCTACAGTTTCATTTACACTTTTCTTTAATGCTCCAGCTTCAAAACTGTCCATGAACAAGTCACAAGGTAATGGAGAACCATCTCTCTATAAAATTTACTCTTAATTTGAAATAATGAATTCTAACATATACTTCAACAACTTCTATTGTTTCTAAAGTTGAAATCTTATTCTCTTTTAATTTATTCTCAGAACATGCAGTGGCTTTATCCCCAGGAACTTTAGTGAACAATGAAATAACATCAAATATGCTAAAATATCATTGTGGTCTAATGTTATTTTTCAAATGTTTTTCAACAAATTCTAAAGAAATTTTAACGACATATACATTTATTTTTATCCATTAAAAATGAAAATTTTGTGATAGTGATTTTTCTACATATACTCAGAACTTTTAATATTAGATTAATAGATCTATAGCTATACCCAGTCTTATGGACTTTAGGCATAACATATAATCTTGGTAATACAAAATTGCTTTTCAGAAAGTGTTAGGACTATACAGTTTTTAGCTTTTTCTTTTACCATTGCATGTAGTCTTGTAATAATTATTCAATATTTATACTATAATCTTTTTTATTATTATTAATAAGTACATAATTATTAATTACCTTCTTTATCTACTCTACAAGTAACCACATCTTGTTCTTTTAAACGTTTTAAAATTTCAAAATTTATTTTTGTTATTATTTGTAGGTTTAAAATTATTGACTAAATTACAAATCCACCTCAGGTTTTTTTAGAGTTTAATATAAGCTGTTTTTTTAAATACTGTAGGCTATTTAGAGTTGTAGGTTATGTTGTTAAACACCTTAGATTATTTAGAGAAATATAGGTTATTATTTCCTTGGCATAAGGAACATGTGAGTGAGAGTGATCTGAATTACAAGGTTTATTATTTTTTAAAAAAGGGATCAAATTGCCAAAGATGGCCAAGGATATAGAGTATGTGTACAGATTGATCCAAACGACCCAAGTAAACCCCTTCAGGTAACTCACGTACCTCAGCTGAATGTGATAGAGGCTGGTCAAACAGAACAGGCAATTAAGGTTTGTTTTGTAATTTATAATATAATATGTAAAAAAATTATCAGAATTCTGGTATTGATGTATATTTTTAATGAATAACAGAATATACTAGTTCAGAAATTTATTGCATATTTTTCTAAGAAAATGCTTGGAGAATAGAATACCTGCTAATGTAGATCTTTTTTTTATTGTATATTTATTTTATTGATGTATTTATAATGAATTACATTTGTTTTATCTATGAATTTGTAAATTCAAGAATTGGAGACATTATTTTCTTTTATATATATATGCATTGGTAAATTAATTTATTTGAAAGTAATGGTGATGCAAATATAGTATGCTTATTTTTTATAACTATCTTATTTTTCCTTTATTCATGATAGAGTGATCATCTTTCAATTGAGAAGCTCTTAATTCACACTATTCACATTCGTACCAAACAAAAATTGACTGATTTAAAGGAGGATTTGATATCCAAATTAGGAGAAACAGAATGTAAGATGATTTTACCTTTGTGCTGAAACTCAAGTATGAACAGTGTTGCTACAGAACTTATCTGTTGTTATAGATAGTTAATAGTTTCTATTTAGTGAAACTATGGTGTTGAAGTACCCATTAAAATCAAAGCTAATGAGTGATACCTTTTGTTACAGGGTGACATCTTTTAACATGTTAATTATTCAGTCTCGGGTAGTATGTAATTCTGTGCATTTATTAAAAATGAATGTATTGCTATGTACAGAGTTTATGCTATATTGTGCTTATTAGGTTGAAGCTGATGCATATTTAATAGTTGAAACAGTGAATAATAATACTTTATAAGATGAGTACAAAGCTAATTGGTTTTATTTGTTATTTAATTATTTTTAAAGCAGTTGTTATAAATGATATTTCTTTTAAGTTTATCTATCATGATACTTGAAATTACAGACTTGAGAAACTATTTTTATCTATTGCTGAGTTGGTGTTCCATAAGGTGTTTTTTTACTGTGTATATCCATATACGTAAGGTTTTTAAGATTTTAAACACTAATAATGATTATGTATCCAGTATTTGTTTGTTTGTTTTTGAGCTTTAAATAGTTGTATGTTTTGTTTTTATTTCAGGCTCTATAGGTGGGTCACCAGCCATCCTGCACTTTCCACTACTACAGCCTTGTATGCAATCTGAACAGCTGTTGGTTACAGTAGATACTCACACTGGCTACTTTCTAGCTCACATTCCACAGTTTGGTAAGCACTCTTGTTGAATGATGATGTATCATTTTCACATAATCTGTTTTTATAGCTTAAAATTTGATATCCTGGTTATTTGCTTTGTCACACAGTCTGTGTCATAGCAGCTATTTCATGGTTGGGAAAGTAATGTCTTGTTCATATGGGATATGTCATGCAACCATCTTTACACCATAAATTTCATAGTTTGATAAGTAATTCTGTTACACATTCTATAGCTTAGCATACATTCTATTGTGTAGTAATTGATATTCTATCTATTATCATAATGAAGACTTGCATTGATATTTTGTAACCAAGGTTTCACCAGTTTATTTCAAAGTTACCCCCATTGTTTGTGATTCTAGCTGTAAAAATCATATACAAATATTGAATGGGCATTCCTTAAAGAATATTTATGATCTTTTAGGATCATTGTTGATCTACTTTACACATACTTTATACATGAAAAACGTGATAAGAGATACTGGGACTTGAACCCAGGAGGATGTTTGACTAACATAATATGGTTGGATAGTGATAAGTCAACCTTAAGTGTCTAACTGCAGCTTAGAAAGCTTTCTGCTTTATATTTTACTACCACCATCAGCTAAACACATTAATGTAAATATAAGTATTCTAAGTTAGCTGTCAATTCAGCATTTTTCAATAATTTGTAATCTAAATCAACAATACTTCATTGTTTTAAGAATAACGTAGAACATGTCAACTTTCTGCTTCAGTGTGGATGGTATGGATTGCAAAAAGGATAGCTGTAGAAAAACTAGTAACCTCTGCTAAGAAAAGTCAAGTTACTCTAAAAAAGAAACAAATAAATAAAGGTGCTTAATATACTGATTTCTTAATGCTAAAATTTAGCATGAAAATTGCCAATAAATAACCATGTGCTTTTAAAGATATGAAACTATAACAGAATTAAAGAGCCTAACATTTAAGGGAAAATGCAACATGTCTCCATCACAAAATCCCAACATGGCCAATTTTGACACCAGAAAAATTGTGAAAAACACAGAAAAATTAAAAACTGTCTGTAATACTGCTTGGTACCTGCAAGAAGGTATCTTTGTATCAAATCCCATGTAAATTGGTTAAACTATGACCAAGTAATTGACCCAAAACCTCAAAATTAGGCCTTTTTGTGAGATCTGCCCCTTAAAAAGAGTGTTGGGTGGTTGAAAATTTATATTTGTGCCAAATGTCATTTTGATTGCTGTAAGGCAAATTGGACCAAGTTATAACCCTACTACGTTTCAAGTCAATCTGCTCATAAATGAAGGAATGGTGGTTGATTTGAAAAACCGTACATCTCTCTGCAAAGACATAATAAAAGACCTGGCTAGTTTCAACAGGCCAAGCTTGTCATTCTCAAAGGATGGAGTAAAACAGGTTTTTTATAAATTTGCACAAAGTACTATCTTTAAGTGTACTGCTTTAATTGTACTATTGCTACTTTTCTACTGTCTAATATTTTAAGCGACAGAAGTGTGAAAATGCTGGGTACTGGTTTGAATATAGAAAATCAATAGTTCTGGAAAACAGCCTTTGGGGTCATGACAAGGCATTTTCCACATGTACATTAATATTAATTTTCATAATGCTAATTTATTTGTAAATCTACAAAATATTTGAAATGCAGATTTTTAATAAGACCGAAATTTCTTGTTGAATAGTTTTGAATTTGTTGTTTGTGTACTTATTGAACAGTTTTGAAAAATATATCAGTTATGAAGTTGTGGAATATAAAGTTTACTGAGGTTGATTGAATTGCTGAATAGTTTAGTTGAGGATAGGTATATTATTCTAAATATTCTACTAAATATTTCTTACATTTTGATATGTCTGTTATAGTTGTTAATTTTTACTCTAACCAGTTTCGTGTATGGATGCAATAAACACTGATGGTAAAGTCAAAATTTAAGATCATTTTAGTATGATATTGTGCTTAGGGAATAACTTGAATTTTTTTTTTCTTTCTATGAAAAAATCTCATCAGTAATATCTGTAGATAAATACCGAATTTTTGGTGGCTTTAACAACTAAGTAATTACTAGGACATAATGTTGTCAAAACATTGTACATTTATAATAAAGTTGTTTTCTTTATTCATTCAAGCTGTCTTCAAACTTTTATTTTCTAAAAAGTGGGTCGCTTGTCATCAAATTTAAGTACCTATATATTTATAGGTACCTAATCATTATTTTTCATTTTATTTCATTGTTACTTATTTAGATATTACTGATCTAAAGCAATGATTATATTATGTATTTATGTATAATGTGATGGCTGTTATATTTGGTAATGTTTAAAAATTCTAACCATAAAACTTGCTTATGTTTACATGATCATTGTTCATAGTTTTGATCATATATATAATAAAATTTTTTGTTTTCGTTAAATTCTGTAAAGTTTTATCTATAAATCTGGTAACATTTTAATAACACTTCATTTGTGTATAAGGATTAACATTTAAGAAGCTTTAATATTTACTAATTGAAAATGTTTGTACATTATTGCTTTTTGATACAGAGGCTCCAATGATGGAAGAACTAAGTGAATCTTTAAATAAAGATTTGAGTCAGGTTGAAGCATTGGTTTTGGATCTTAGGTATGCTATTATGAAATAGTGTATAGAGATAGGACCAGATAAGAGAAGAATGTTTGTAAATTATCCATCAGTGAAAGTTTTATCTAAATATTATAAGCTATATTTAATCAACAATTCATATTAGCTTTTACTATTTTATTTTTGGTGATATCTTAAATGAAGTTCATCTTTGGATATTACATAGAACGCAACATATTGAAGAAGGCTTCTATTTTATGTTCATTACATGATGTATTGAAGCCATACTCTTTTGTAACTTACATGTATTGAAACTATAATGTAATGCACTTATAGCTTTTATGTTACGTAATGTGTTAAAGTAGTTTTATTTTATATGTTTTATGATTGTGCATGATACTCAAAACATAAAATGTAATTAATGAAAGTGATTAAACAACAATCTAGTTGAAACTGATTGAATATATAAGATGGATCTTTCTTACAACCATTAAAAATATTTTAAATTATAAAATGAAAGTGAGTATTTTAATGTTTTCTTAAAACTGTCTCTCACAACAAAATATTTGAAATTTGCAAACATAAAAGGTGATAAAAACAATCTTGTTCAAATTATATGGGGAGGGGCAGCCAAAACTAAATACTATTTAGTAAATTTGTTCTAAGTTTCATACAATTTGACTTAAGCATTTCCACTCAAAGAAGGAAAAAATTAAGGGATATCAGTGACACCATCTGACCCAGAAAAAGTCAAGCTAGTCGTTACTTAGTAATGCTGTACAATTAATCATCATCACACATGGCTGTGCTTATCAAACTTGTAACTCATAATTACCAAAAAAAAACCTGAACAATAAATATTATTCTACTTCAGAAAATACATATTTGTTTCAAATGTCTCATCTGTTTTCATGAAATGCCAGTAGTTAATAATGTGAAATACAATATCCCTCAGATATTGGGTAGTGTTACGTCGGTGTGAGAAGACTATTCAGCATCTACCAGTGATCTCGAGTGAACAACTTCCACTGATAGTACCTCCAGAACATCCAGTGGCTCAGCTGGGAAAGCACAAGCTCTTCATCAAGCTATGTAAACATCATAATTACTATGTGGTAAGCTAAGAAAGTTTTAAGCATTTTCACTGTGTACCTAATGTGGTAGAAGAATGTCTCAGTTTGAATATAATTTACAGTATAATGTAAATGTTTTCCTATTTTTTTTTCATTGAAAGATTTAAAAACTCAGAATTAGTGTTTAAGACAGAGAATATTGTAGTTGCAACAATGCTATGAATTATAATTATTTATGAAACTCTAGAGTTTGATTATTTATTATTTTTTCAAGGTTGTTCAGCTGAAACCTCATGAGGATAATCCAAGTGATGTCGCCTTACAGTATTACCTAATGACAGTGAGTCCTCAACCATTAGAAGAGAGTACAGATCAGAGGGATGACACCACAGGTTTAGAACTAGAATTGCCAAAATCTTTTCTTCAGGTTGTGAATTTCCTCCCTCTAAACACTTTTACTATTTCCCATGGACCATTCACCAGCATTGAAGGTAGAAGTTAAACTCTAAATGTCTTGAACTTTTTAAACTTGTACTTGCTAAAAATATTTATTTCATTAAGCATACGTTAACATAACTTTTTTTGTGTGAAACTTATTATAACAGGAAGCAGCAACTCACATATTTCTGTTTCCAAAAAGTTATATTTTTGTCTGGTTAATTACTTGTAAGTAGCTGTTTTAGAACTTGTATTAATAGACAGGACACATCAACTTATCTATTTCTACTTGTGTAGTAACTTCTTTAATTATTAGCTGAATCACTCATACTAATAGTCAACCTTGTGTCATTTTAAGCACTTAGAACAATTTTCAGTCACTAGTAGTTAGTAAAGGTTTACTTCTTTTTTATAATGCATGGAGAGTGATTAAGTTAAAACTGTACTATATTTTACAGAAACTGTTTATTGATATACATCTTATGAAACTTTTTGATCAAAGGTAAATATACAATACTACCTACATTTTCAGAGCATCAAATTTGATTTCTTAGTTTACTTTTTATATATATTTCTTAATGGTGTATACCAGCATTTCCCAAAGTGTGAGGAGTGACTCTCCATAGGGGAGGCACAAATGATCACTTGGAGAGGCACGAATGATTAAGAGAGTCAATAGTGCAATAACGTAAAATTTAGTTTAATATATATATTTGTTACTCATGAAAATAATAAGTAATTGCTTAAATACGTCTGACATTTTGATGCATGTTCATGTAATAAATCTCGTTACTTTATTTTTTCACTTATTTTGGGGGGGGGGGTATGCAAGAAAACATACTTATTACAGTGGAGTATGGATGACAAAAGTTTGGGAAATGCTGGTGTTAGCTTAGCTATCCATAGTTGAGATATAGACTTGCAAGTCTCCTTGTCTGCAAATGAAGTAGCTTCAAATTTGTTTTATCTTATTTAAATGTTTGCTTCTTTTTTTTCATGGTAGTTGCAGACCAGAATGTAGGAGTCAAGAGAAAAGTAAGCTTATGAAAAGGACCTAACTTAATATCCATATGTGTTATTTATTTAATTAAAAGAGCTGATAATTTCATAATTGTTAAACAAGTCTTATTAGAAAAAAATAAACAATGCAGAAGATACAAAAATGCAATTACATTAATACTGTAACACTGATTTTTTTCTGAAACTAACAGAATGCTAGACATATTTGGTTCTTTTTTTTGTATGTTTTGAAATCTCTATATCCACCTGAACCGAACTTTAGAAACTTAATTTTTTATCTAAGTATAGGGTTATATTTTATGTAGCATTTAGAGATCAAACTACAGAAACATTAGTTTATTCAATGTCAAAAAATTGTACTTCAGTTATATTGACCAGGATTTATTGATCTAACATCTCTGTGCCTGCAAGAAAGTGTAGCTTAAATGGATCGTGTGAAAATGATGGAATAAGGAAAATTCAAGAGAAGGGCATGAATACTACTGCAAATGTTTTGTGGGTCACGGGTGGTTTGTATTATACATCTGCCCCCCAAGTGGCACAGCAGTATGTCTGTGGACTTACAACACTAGAAATCGGGTTTCGATATCTGTGGCAGGCAGAGCACAAATAGCCCATTGTGTAGCTTTATGCTTAATTATGAACAAACAAACATACATTTCGGAAGCAGATTTAATTATTACATTTTATGAAAAGTAACTAAACCCAGTGCTGTTTGACATAGATTCTAAATACAAGTACAAAACTAATTTTTTTATTGGAATCTTTGTAACCTTCAAAATCAAAACAAATAATTGGTTAAGTCTATTGATTGGGGTACCATGTGTCTTAAATATGAGTGTTAGTAACTCATTCTTTTTTTTCTTTTAGCTTTTGGCAAAACAACCTGCAGAAAGTTCGGTGAAACGGTTAAAAAACACAGGCTATTTCAACACTGAACTAGCTCATGTGATTGCCATGTGTGATGAAAGACTACCTTTCTGCACCCTAACAGCAGAGGTAAGATTTTTATTATTTTATAGGCATATCTTTGTTTGCTGAGTAGTTATTTTTGCTTATAGTTTTATTAACACTTGAAGAAATGCTGCTACTGTTAGTTTCACATTTTATTCATAAAATATGATGACTCTTAATAAGTGATATTTGAGCTTGATTAGTTCTATGTTTCAAAAATTGGTTATTTCAAACTAAGTTCTTGTGGAAAAAGTAACATTCACTGGCTCTGTGAGCAGATTAGTGGATGCAAGGAATTCTGCTTTTTCTTCATGCCAGAAGTGAAATTGTTCAACAAATAATAGATGACTGTATCAGTTTTGTGCTTTTTTTAGAAGGGCAAATAATATTCCTTTAAAAACTATATAATATTCTTCCTTGAGGTACTTAAAAAATAAAATTTTAACTGAAATTTTTAGGTTTAGAAACTTGATTTGATGTATATTTTATTAACATTTCTTTGAGGTAAATTAATAACAATTAAGTTGTTAATTTTAATTTCAATTTCTCATCCTAATTGTGATTTTTATGTGAACTTTCTGTCTGTATAGATAACTTGTCCACATAGAGAAGAAGACTGCAAATTCATGGTTTAATGCATGTTTATTGCTTATATTTAGATCAGATAATTTGAAAACATTAAACTTCTGGAGATTGTTGTATGAAAAACCAAAAAATTCAGCTGGCTGCATTTTTTGCTTAAGAACTTTCAAGCTTCTAAAACAAACTCACTCATAAATATATTGCCTTGAAGCTGGAATTTTCTTTCTCACAATATTTTTGCCACAAAGCTCTTTTTCCTCCTGGTATGAACTGTACAGTTCTAAACTTTTAATTCTAATGTCGAAAGTATTTCTTGATCACATACCTTAATAAGATCTATCTACTGTAATTGCCTGAGTTTAATGTAATATGCCCCCTAATATAATGAGCACCCAATTTTGAAATGTTAAATTGAAAAAAATTTGTTTTTTAACACATCAGTTGTACAAAATGTATTGAATAGTTTCTAAATACAGTAAACAACTATTGATGTATTAAACATTTTCAGAAATCTTTCATTGAAATTTTTTTACCTGTCAGTTTTACAAAATTTATTTCAAAGTTTATACGTGGTAATACATTGGGCTAATCATTCATCTTCACATAAATCTTTGTCATCGTTATAACTGTCGCTACCATCGGATTTGCTTTCTTGAACCTTTGCTTCATCCTCTTCTGATTCCCACATTATGTCATCATCTATTCCATCCATTACATTGGATATATGCAACATTTTTTGAAACCTTTAATGATTTTTTGTGGTGGTTTCTACTAAAATACCTAACAAAATTGAACATGGGTGAATATAATGTGCAGTCAACCTTTCAGGAGGTATTTGGAGGAAGAAAATTGTGCATTATATTCAGGCAAATACAGTATATCATGGTTTTCTTTAATGTTACATAAAGATAATAAATTAATTTTATTGGTTCCCATACTTATTTATTAATTTTGCTGAAGTAATTACTTTGGGCAGTTTTTTTTTCTTTATAAAAAAAAAAAAAAACTCCCATTGGTAATTTGAAACAATGGAGCCTTTTTGAAACAAATGTACATGATTTCTAAAAGGAATAAAGAAGTAACTCTTATAAATAAGATATAGCAAGATAAATACCATCTATTTATATTAATTGTAATGACATGTAAGATAATCTATTGAAAAATTTTTCATCCGAGTTGGCTAGTATGCTCGTGATACTATTACTACTTATAAGCACATAATAAACCTGGATCTTAGGGCACCAAATATGATTGTGTATTATGTAATAACATAGTATACAGCTATGCCATGTCATGGTTTTTATTTCATTATGAATCGTAAATTTTCCCCAAAAAAATTGGGTTCAGTAATGTTCATTGGCTATCACATTTTTATGTTTCAAGTATATGTGTTTCAGGTATGGTGTTGTTTATTTTTATGACTTATTAACTGCAGAAATTGTCTAACTGATGGCTCCGAGCTGGAATGAATTAAATAATTTTTTATGGATTTTTTTAAGAAAATGTGTTTGTATGATATATAAATGTAATGTTGCATGTTTTAGTTAAATAGAAGAGGAATATGCCATCAAGGACTTCAAGTAGAAGCTAATGGGACAAACTTTGTTGTGAAACTTGTTAAGTAAGTTGATATTTCTGAAACTTTTCCAGTACTCTGTACATAATGAGGCATACTGGAGTCTCACCATTTATGTTGAGATTTATTGCAAAAAAAACTGAATATTTACAAGGTGATATTTAATATAATTTTCATGTTTATAATATTTGCAAAATATTACATGAAGTTCCATTTTGAACTTTTTCAAGGCCGCAAGTTCAGGATATTTTGTCAGTTATGTCTAGAATTGACTGAATATATTATAAATAAAAATTATTTGTGGCCCTAAAATACAGTGATTATTAGTTTTTTCATTTCAAAAACATCAGAAATAATTATGTGTTATCAATTAGAATGCCCCTTTGTGAAGGAAGTGATGTTGAGGCTGCTGTTTAAGATAATATATCACTTGTAGACTGTATGTAATTGTGGGTAAAATCACATTTTCTGTATGTAGATTATATATATATATATATATATATATCCTTTTTGTTGTTTTTTTCTGTTCCCTTATCATTAGAATGCCCCTTTGTGAAGGAAGTGATGTTGAGGCTGCTGCCGTATTGTCATCTTCATTATTAAGTTGTACATTGAGACTTCCAGGAAAAGGAATGAGAGCTTGGCTTGTAGAGGTAAATTTCGTTGTTTACCAAGATGTGAATTATGGAGATAGTTGTTTTTCTTTATTTTCATTTTCACTCTGATACTTGACTTACAGATCATTTAGACATTGGCTTTTAAATCAAATGCAGTTTTTACATATGTTATTAAATTCCACATATCCGTTATGAAGCCATGTTCAAGAACATATTTCTTTATAAAAGAGAAAACAAGCCTTCATGTTTTGAATGTTAACTGGTAGAGACTGATTTAAGAAGTGTCTAAACACAAGAAAGTAAGTAGAATTAGCAACTATGGTGATCAAACAATTCATAATACTTCATTAAAAGGACCATTACACTCAGGTGTAACCATATAAGTATTAAAGGATTTTAGTTGTTAAACTTGAAAAATATCTAAACCATGTGGTTCAAATGATTGACAGAAAAAACTAAATATGATGGGCAGTTTTTTATATTTGATTGTAGTTTCTTTTCATCAGAATAACAAAAAAATCTTTGAGATAGTAAATAATGTGTTTACTAAAATTACTTGATTCATTATTAAAAACAAATATTACCAAAAAATCAAACTGATACTGTTCTTTCAGCAAACAGGTATATGTTTTTTTTCTATTCAACTTACAAAAGTTTTATGTGAAACTGGGTAATAAAATTAAGTAATATTTAGCTGTAAAAAAAAAACACTAATGAAGCGTAAACACAATAACTGATGAAACAGAAAAACAAAAGTTGGGAAGAATATTAACTCTATGTGCACTGCTAGGTCAAAGTGCACATGTTTTGACCCTTTCAGAAAGTTACATTCAAAATTTAATTAGACTATTTTATTGTCGATGTATGTTAATAAACTAAGCATGAAAATGTAGTTTGCAACTCAACTTTTTGTATGATCTAAGTTTTAATTTTGTAATTTGAAAAGGAAATATTTAAATAAGCTTCCAATATGCCCCCCCCCCCCTTTGTTGGTGCTGTGGTTTCTCATTTATAGATTTCTCTTTTCAGGTCGTTTATATAATAATAAATACATGCTACATACACACACACATATATATATATTAACAAGTCAGAATATAAAATTTCAAATTTTTCTTGCTTTACTGAGATATTACTATATTTGTTCAGCTCACATTGCATGCCCCTCCCACCCATTAATTTGCTGTGAGAGCTTTGTGTTTGGACTGAAGATGTTACTCTGAAAGTAATGAAAGTTTTTAACCTATTTATAGGTTAGTTAGATAGCCATATAAATTACATTAGTTTTTGGACATTCTAATCTTGTGTTGGGTTTATTGTTATGTGTTCAAAACTGATTATTTGAAAGCTACATGAATGTTTGGACAATCAACATAATGGAACAAAAATAGGCTTCCCAAATCATGCACTCTAGTGCAAAAGACCTCAAGATTAAATAAGTGTCAGATTTCTTGGTTTTTATGTGTGTGTGTGTGTATATATATATATATATATATATATATATATATAT